GACGTGTTCAGTTAGCCAGTGGGAAAGCAGGTGGAATGAGGAGAGAGCCAAGAAGCCAACACCATCACCCTCTTCAATGGGGTCTTCCAGCAGATGGAAGCAGACCCCAGCTGGGGAAGTAGAGAAGCCTAATTGGGCAAGAGTTTGTTATTACTGCTGGACCAGAGGTTTGTGATGATGAAGTTGGACAACTTTTGTACTCTCTAAGAGTGTCTGAAAAGCTCCATGACAAGCCTGAGGTTCCATCCAAATGGCAGAATTTTCTTAAAAAGAGCTTTGAGAGGAGAAAGAATAACACAGTTTCCTTTTTGCACTTCACCGAGTCCAGCGTATTCAGTAGGCCAGTTCTACAGGTCTCAAATGGTGGTCATGAACCGCGGGGTCTGTCCAGCTCCCCTCTTTGGGAAACAGCATTCTATCTACCTGGTTCTGGTGGGTGCTGCCAACCACAGGACCCCATTGCCATGGCACAGCATGGACATATAACCCAAACTGGGCTAATCGGAGGACTTTCCTGAGGTTTTAGAAATTGGGATTGTGGATGTGAACTGGGAGCCTAAGAGATCCCGTGCACACACCCCCCCCCCTTCTAGCAGTACAAACCAAGGGCATTAACTAATGTAGAGAGAGGAGTAGGGATGAGACGTGGTGGTGTTTGAGTCCCTGTTCTAGTTCTCCTCGACAGCTAGTTATATCCCTGCCCTTTTCCCATTTGGTTATAGACCACATACATTCTCCCTTTCTGCCTAAACAACGTTGAGTTTCTGGCACTTGCAACCAAGTGCTCACTAAGATGAAGCGGTATTTCTTCCAGGAGCCAAAAAGATACCTGCATTGAAAGCTGCCGAGAAAAGCAAAGAGTAGTCCCTGACATCCAGAAGCCAGCCCAGCACTCACAGCTGGGCCATGTTATCCTCTTGCAGGACAGAAACATCCCCACAGAATATCAACCTCAGACAAGGCAACGCTGACACTATAAAATGAGACAAAGCATGACCACTTCCTAATTTTGTATAAGCACAGACAAAAATAAGGTCATGGTGCTACCTTCAAAATGCCATAAACACTCCTCTCTTGGCTAAGCAGCTACTTCTTTACCAAGTATAACTTTATCTGGGTTCTAGTCTCTTCTCTCTACAGACAAGCTTTATGGAGATAAAGGTACCCCCTCTCTAACAGCATCACAAAATTTCCCCCTCTCTAACAGCATGAAATCTAGAAGGAAACTCTGCTTCTGCATTCCCTCCCCCCAAATCAGCCAAGGAAAGCCCAAACCTTTCACATACCTTCTTACTGAGAGCCCCTCTAGATCTCCATGCTGTGTATCCTCCTTCAGTTCAGTGAGTAATAAACCCAACTTGTTCTTTGACTGGAAGACACTGACAATGTTAGAGCATCCTTTTTTTTTTTTTTAAATGTTGGCTTCCTATAAAGCCATTTGTTTTCCAGAATGTCTAGAAGAGACTATATTTTTTAAAAAATAAAATTGTTGGAAGCTTGCAGAAGTGCTTAAAGAAACCAACTGAGCTATATCTATTTTAATTTTTAAATCCCTTGGAAGGTGTCGTGGATGCTGTTGGGAACCGCTCAGATTTCACCTTAGGACTCAGGCACCTATTCTTCCAGTTGCCCGGAGAGGTCACTCCTCATGCTTCCCAACTGAGCTCCTCCTTTGGAATTGCGTTTGGCAAAGCTTTTTGCTCAAGGGCATGCTTCCTCCCTGGGACTGCCTACATCCAATATGGATTGGCTGAGATGAGGGTAGAGTGGTCCAGTCCCCTTTTTGGCATGAAACCTGTGGGGTCTGCTAGGGTCTGCTAGGGCCTCTGCTGCAACCTGCAATTGCATCACAGATCATCATTCTCCCTCTTCCCAATCCAGTTGATTTCACTCCCTCATAAATCAGAGCACACCCCCAAACCTGCTGCATGTACCTCTGCATCCCAGGGTCTATTTCCTGGGGAACTGACTTAAGATAAAGGGGAGCTAAGAATTCAAAACTGGCTACCCAGCAATTCTCACATAGAACCAGAAAAGTTCCATCAGTGAAAAGTCCCACGACTCCTGCCCAATGTATGCAAGATGGCTCATGAAGTGGGTGGGGGGAAAGTCACATGACAGAACCAGTTCCTCCCTTGCACAGGAAGATGCAGCAAGGCTAAGGAGTTGCAAGAGCTAAAAATGGCTGATATATCAACTAGTGTAATTAGCAACTAATGACCAATTAATTGGACTCTTTCGGTTACCTTAACATAGATTTCCACATTTATAGGAAAAAATAAGTGTGTTAAGTCTCCTTCTGTGATGTGGGAGTATGCCTGGCTATTTGTACTGTCAAGTTAGAAGTTACAGCCTCTATTCACCTAGTTGTCACAGAAATCTAAGTCATAGATCACAGGAAGGAATTTTATTATAATTTCTGGTTTTGCCAATTGAAACCCATAAAGTTACAATTTCAAAAACCTGACTCCTTAAACCTAAATTCCTCTGCCATGCTCTCTACAACATGGTTCCATCCTCTGCAGCATCCTTGTGGCCATCCAACACCAAGTTTATGCCTCCTTCCTTCCATCTTACTGTTCATTCTGCCACCTGCCTCTGCACTCAACAAAATCCTACCCACCTTTGAAAGGCCTGATCCTCTCCCATGGAGCCTTTTGTTCAGGTCCATCTTTGATAGTCCCTGCCTACCCTAACTCTTCTTGCCCCATTTTCCAAAATTTAGCTCCTCTCCTATTGTGCCCCATCATGCTTAGCACACGGTGAGGCACACTGCTCCATGAATACTATTTTTCTAACAGTTTTATTAATATATAATTCATATACCATAAAATTCACCTGTTTTAGGAATATGATTCAATGATTCTTAGTAAAAAAACTTACAGAGTTGTACAATCATTACCACATTCCAATTTTAGAATATTTTCATCACCCCAAAATCTCTTGCACCACTTATAGTTACTCCCCATTCTCATCCCTAGGTCCAGACAGCCACTAGTCTGCTTTCTGCCTCTATAGATTGCAAGAAATATTTTTTAACCTCTTCATATTGAGCATCTTTCCTTTTTCCAATGGCCACCATCAGTTACTACTGAATTCCCTTTACAAACAACCTAAGGTAGACATTTGAATAATTAGACATCGTTAAATAAATGGCATTGAAAACCCCCCTCCTTGCTAACAAACTGATAGCATTTACTTCTTATTACAACCAAAAAGATGCCATTTTTAGGTAAAATCTAAATTCCTAGGTTGATTTTAAACTCAATGTTGAGTCAGCTGGAATTTGTTTTGAAAGTGAAAAACAGGATGGAGAAGATGGAGTAAACAGATAACATGATGCCACCTTGACAGCATTCAAGCAAGTCACTTCACTCTTGGAAATTAAACAGGTCAGACAAACATCCTTTTCTGCACTTCCCTTGTTTCAAACCCCAGGGATGAGGACTCCTCCTGAGAACAATTATAAAGGACAGCTTGCTGAAGTTCAGGATGTTTCTTCCTGTGCAGGTCAAACACATGTCAAGACTCTCAACTTTTATTAGTTTGGCTTATATTCAGTTAAATGGGTCATCTCTTGTGCATCTTCTATCTATTCAGCAACTTTAAAAAATGACATTTGAACTCAATTTAAGTTGTAGCCATTTGATCAACTATCTTATAAGCAAATAAATAAGAGAATGAAAGCCTTTTCACAAACTGATGAAACATTAATTCATAAGAAAAATTCACTTAGAAATATTTTAATGAAATTGAGACCAGTGATACATAGATAACATACAAAGCACATCAAGGAAAATAGTAATTGTGAATTTTATTTTGGCATCATAAAAGTTTAATTTTATTTATTCATTCATTTATTTATTTATAGCTTATGATGCCAAAATAAAGCGAGATTATTTTACAGGCAGAAAACACATTTTAACAAAAAAAGCTATAGAACAAGTGTCTCGTGTGCAAGGATGATGTATAATGGGAAAGTGAAAATGAGTCCTCCACACATTCACATTGTTGATAGACTCTTTCAGAACCAGCAATACAGTCGATAAACAGTGGCTATTACTTCAGGATTCTGTGAGCTTACCCCTGAGAATACTGAACTATTTAAGTCAAAGTTCCAAAATGCAATACCTCAAATGCTCCCTAAATTTAGCAAACAGGTGCTTCTAATACAGAAATTAACTCAGCTTATCATTTCAACCGTCTCTTATATTTGAATACAAGAACTATTGTTTTAAAAGGTTATTCTTGTCTATTTCCAATTAGATTCTTTTCATTGTAAGACAAAAATAAAATTTAAAATAATAGTCTTTCTAGAAAAGGACTAACATGTACAAAGCATATAATTTTATGACATAATCTATTTCATGTGAAGGCACTATGCCATGGTCATCATTAATTATATGGGATTATTTAAGATTTTGTTTATCACCATAATTTCCAAGATCAGGAGTCAAAGAATCCCAGTGGGACCAAATGATTTGACCAGGGCCATCTCCTGAGTCTGTGACCAAGAGAAAAGAATATTTTATCTCCACAAAGCCAATCTACTAATTAACCTTCAGGAAGCAAGCCTTTCTGTAATCTTTTTTTTTTTTGTAATATTTTTAAGTAAGAGGATTGTTTCTTCTAACACCTATAGCAGAAACCCAAATGTCAGGAAAATATAAGTAAGTATTTGTTAAAATGTTTATTTTACTAAGTGATCAAAATGAACCGTAAATGTTTTCTGACCATGAATCTGTATATTAAAATGGGATTTAACACTTAAAAAAACCAACACTGAGACAGGCACCACTAAAATAAAAGCTTTCCAATTGAAAAAAAAAAATACTATACCTAAGCTTTTAAAAATTGGGGTATGTATTTTACTCTTTCACAGTTGAAAGAGCATTGTATCCACTAAAACAATTATCTCTTATTCTACTGAGTGCATCTAAAAAAATTCCAAATATAATTATCAGAAACCTTCCCATAATTCTAACTTTTCTTTAAATGAGGAATATTTTAAAACTTTCTTAAGTTGTCATAGACCTCAGTAACCAATTGTATATTCATTCATAGAAGATATTCTTATATGTTTATTTTGGGTCCAATTAACTCAGCTGGTAATAAAAGGCCTGCAATAGAGAGATAGAAGAGATAGAATCATGGGACAATACTCTCTAAATATGAATAAACAGATTTACATTATTTTCAAATAAAGCCTAAATTGACTACAAAACTTTTTAAGTTGGGAAAGTTACTCCTCTGTTACCTTAGTCTTGAAATAAATTTAATGTATTGAATTTCTGGATCCAAGCGCTACTTGCAATTTATGATGAAAGGCATTTACCCGTTCTTTCTGAACTGGCCAGCTCAAGATGCAGTGAGATTTAAACATCCCTCTTCGCAAACAGAGTGCATGGTTCAGTTTATAATCTGGGATCTCCTCAAGAAAGATCAATATAATGGAATCCAGATTTTGTTCAATAGCTTGTTGAACTGCTTGGTGCACCTTGAATCTAGGGGAAAAAAAGTATTGAAATACGTTATATAACAGTATACAGTTTTTAACAGCCAAAAGCTCTCACATCCTCCTTAAATTTGTTTTTATCTGTCCCTAATAATCAGGTTATTTTTTAAGAAATTTATTTTATTTTATTTTATTTTTAAAGATTTTATTTATTTATTTGAGAGAGAGAGAATGAGAGAGATAGAGAGCACGAGAGGGAAGAGGGTCAGAGGGAGAAACAGACTCCCTGCTGAGCAGGGAGCCCGATGCGGAACTCGATCCCGGGACTCCAGGATCATGACCTGAGCCGAAGGCAGTCGCCCAACCAACTGAGCCACCCAGGCGCCCCCTTAAGAAATTTATTTTTAAAATTCTTTGAGTTGTGAGTCATAATGTAAGTAATATTTAAAAGCTCAATCAAAAAAATAAGTACACACTTAAAATTTCACAATGTTCACCTACCTTTTGCACAATGGATCTTTTAGTAGATTCTGTGTTACAACAAAAATAGTTTTTCTGCTCCTTTTGATGCTATTAACAATTGATTCAAGTTCAAGGACACCTGCCTCAAAGTCCCTTTCTTCGAGACAAAATTTGAGAGTTTGATCTTTTTCTTCCATTGAAAAGAAGTGTTCCCAGACCCAATCCTTATCTTTATAGGCATGAATTATATATGCTGCATATTCAAACTGCTCTGGCTGTCTGTCTATTTCTTTGAAACCAAGAATTCGATGCACTAAAACATTCCAATAAAAAGATATCCTCCAGCCTTCAAAATGGATGAGCAGTACGATAACGATAAAAATCAATGAGACACTGGTATTTATTATGAAAAAGAGTTTAAAGGGGGCACTGTCTTTGCAGGGTGATATATCAAAAAGCATCACAGGGAAACCATGATATTGAGGTGGAGTATTGCAGAGGTAATGGCTTGATAGCTCAGAGATATTGGTATGGGTCCGGTTAATCCAATTAACAAACCAGGCAATACTTTCACAGGTACAATCAAATGGATTAAAGCTCATATCTAAATTACTCAGGTTCCTGAAGGCTGGCCCAAAAACATTCTTCTCAACTGATGTTATGAGATTCTTCTGAAGGTTCAATGACTTTAGAGATGCCTGACCATCAAAGACAGATGGTGGAAATATGTTTAAATTATTCAATCCTAAATAAATGCTTTTTAATTCAAGTAAGTCCTTGAATACCTCTGCTGGGATCTCATCAAAGCCATTAGACTCTAAATTAAGAATGTGGAGGTGAGAAAGACCCTTTAGAAAATGAACAGGACCACCGGGGTTTGCATGTTTCCATAGCCTTGCTAAGTTGTTATGCTGCAAATCCAGAATTTCTAGTTTCTCAAGACCCTCCAACAGTTCAGCATTTATGTTGGCTATATTGTTGTTGCTTAGATCCAGAACAGTCAAGTTTCGAAGAGGATGAAAAGGTGAAGGGGAGCCGTCCACATTTCTAAGGGCCACTCTTCGGAGCATCAGTCGTCGGAGGCTTGGAACCAAGGCAAAAGAGCTGCTAGTCAGTTGTAGGCATTTGTTGTAGGAAAGGTAGATTTCAACAATATTTTCTAAACCTCTCCATTCTTGGCCCGTGAGTTCTTGCCCGATTTCATTAAGGCCAAGGTCGAGTACCTGTAGGCGACCCAACCAAGAAAAAGCACCACTCTCTATTTTTGAGATTTTGTTTTTGGTTAGATTGAGTGTGACTAAAGGAGACTGAGCAAGGGACAAAAATGTTTCATTGGTTAAAGTCCGCAAACTTGCGAAGGAGTTGGAGAGACTTAAGTGTTTCAGCTTTATCAATCCCATGAACATATTGCTTTTTATGCCTAGAAAGTTGTTGTCTTCCATGTTAAGATACTCCAAACATTTTAGCCACTGAAAGGAAAAATCATCAATCTTGGGATGCAAAGCAAGGGAAATGCTTTGTTTAGAAAAAGAGCGTCGCAAATCCAGGTATCTCACGTTGAGAAGCCCATAAAAGGAGTGAGAAAACAAATGCTCTATGTTATTATACTCCAGGAAGAAATATTCTAGATGTGGAAGCCAAGCAAAGGAATTATTCTCAATCACATTTAAGTTGTTATGGGAAAGATCGAGCATGGTGAGATTTGTGTGCTTCAATCCAACGAAAGTCAGATTGCTCGTTCTGTACAGCTGGGTGTTGCTCAGGGATAGATTCTGAATGCTTGTGTTTGACAGTTCCAAACAGAGCTTCTCTGTGAGGCTGGGGGTCAGCTGAGCATTGTTCAGAGAGAGGCCGAATAATTTTCCAATTGCATGAAAACACCCTGGAGAGAACTAAAGTTGGGGGGGAAAGGAGGTTAATAACCAAAACACAGTGGCATCTGCATGACTTGAAAAGCTTAAACAATTCTTTACTCAGTCCCATTCCCCTTCACCATCTTCTCTGCATTTCTTCCCCACACCTCCGCTGCACCGCTCCTTACTCTGTGCCTGCAACAGCCTCCTCCTGTTCCAACCCCTCACCCTTCCAGGCCTCTGACTACCTTCCACCCAGCATTTAAGGGTCTCCTCATCAAGGGGCTTTCCCTGACCTCCCAGTCTAGGTTAGGTCCCTGGTGCTTTTACTTGATCTGAGTATAATTGTAATTAATAAGGTATTTGTAAAGTCACCACTGGGGCAGATCCTGTTTGTCTTGATGACCGCAGTTCTCAATGAACACATGAAATGAATGGGTGGATTCTATTATGAAACAATGACTCCCACTTGCCCTTCTGTGACTCTGAGCTCCAGCCTTGCTCTTTGTCTTTCCACTACAGTTTTTTCTCCTGACTTTATTTCATGCTAGTGCTTCCAGATCCCTTCTGCTCTGACCCCACTCCCTCACCAGAAGCCTTGGGTGGGGTTCAGCACCAGAACGAGAGAACGGAAGGCAGGAGGAGTGAAGGAATCCAGAGGTGGGTAGCCAGTCCTGGGCAGTGGTTCAACACCAGGAGAGCAAAGAGGCTCCGACGCCTACTGTGTGTCATTTAGTGAGATGTGAGGGCTAATGGAAGAAAGTGTACTTTACTGTAAGTAAAGGGAATTGGACTATGAAGCAGAAGATTGTTAAATTAATTAGGATGAACTTACACGACAGCACTATTTTACAGTAATCAAAATTGAGTTTTTGAATAATTCTTAATGATATGGAGAATGTTCATGATATGACATTATTTTTTTATGTCAGTCACCATACAGTACATCATTAGTTTTTGATGTAGTGTTCCATGATTGTTTGCGTATAACACCCAGTGCTCCACGCAGAACGTGCCCTCTTTAATACCCATCACCAGGCTAACCCATCGCCCCACCCACCTCCCCTCTAGAACCCTCAGTTTGTTTCTCAGAGTCCATAGTCTCTCATGGTTCATCTCCCCCTCCGATTTACCCCCTTCCATTTTTCCCTTCCTTCTCCTAATGTCCTCCATGCTATTCCTTACATTCCGCAAATAAGGGAAACGGTATGATAAATGACTTTCTCTGCTTGACTTATTTCACTTAGCATCATCTCCTCCAGTCCCATCCATGCTGATGCACAAGTTGGGTATTCAGCCTTTCTGATGGCTGAGTCATATTCCATATGATATTACTTTTAAAAGGCAGGACACGCTGTCGCCAGAGGGAGGCAATACGGAACAGCTGTCAAGAGCATGGACTCTGATCTAACACTGCTACAAACCCAGTTCTGTCACCAGATAACCACTTGTGAGACCTTGGGCAAGTTCCTCAATCCTTCCTTATCTCAGTTTACTCTTGTGTAAAATGATGATAAGAATAAGTTAATTACAGGACTATGTAAAAAATTTTTTTAAATATATATGTATATAGAACTTATCACAGTGTCTGACACACAGTTTATTTTGAATTTGTACTCTGAATTTCACCTGCTGTTGTTTTTTCTTATTATCACTTGGAGAAAAGCTGGAGATAAAAATACCCAAATGCTAATACTGGCCGTCTCTGGAATGTGGGCTTTTGGATGATTTTTATCCCCCCCCCCAACTACTTATGTATTTTATAAGACTTCTACATCAAATGTCTAAATTAAAAAAAAATGCTGTTCAAAACTTAGCCTGAGTATTGAGTAAAATGTTCATTTGTTGTTTGTTTATATTTTATTATCTCAGGACCAATACACAGTCTATTTTTATTCTGAGAATGAATACAGCTTTTAAAAATCTTAGTTTATGATTTCCAATATTCTTACTCTCAGCCTGTAAAGGAATAAAATACAGACATACCTGTATATGAAAGTAGTTAATGAATTGACTATCATGGATTCAAAGAGAAGGTTAGTTAGGTAGATCCCATTATAAGAGGATTTTTATAATAATTTAATGCTAGTTATCATTTATGGAGCACTTACATGCCAGACACTGCTAAATTCTTTACCATACAGCCTACGACATAGTTATTATTTTACCAATTTTACAGCTGGGGAACTGGAGCATGAAGAATTTGAATAATTTGCCTGATTACACAATCATTAGGAGAGAAAGCCCGGATGCAGAGCTAGCTAACCCAACTCTAAAGCCCGTCCTCTTAACTACCATGCTATTTTAATTCTTTCAGAGATTTTATGGGATAAATAGTATTGTTTCCACTTTTCAAGTGAGGAAAGTAAGACCCAGAGAGGTTAAGTAGGTTCCCCAAGTTCCAAGTACTAGCCTGTAATTGGAACAGGGATTTTAACCCACTTCCGTTAGACAGCAGAGCCCCAGCTCCTTACTGCTACCAGACTCTCTCTTTTTGTGAGGATGACATCAATGGCCCCAAGCAGGAAGTATGAAGGATTTCTGGAAGACGTGGCAAACATTATCACCCCTTTCTCTAGGAACCTTTAGATTCTTATCCATGTGACACAGTTAGGGACTGCCCACACTTGAAGGTAGAACACAAAATAATTTTATCTTACTTCTTACCTCTTTAATTGGATTTGATGACAACTCTAATTTTTTTAAAGAAGAATTACCAAGGAAATCAAGTTCTTCAGGTCTCAGTACATTAATTTTATTATTTGATAACAGAAGCTCTTGGAGATTTTCCAGTTGGAGCTGACTTCCTAATTTAGTAGATGATAAACCATTATGAGATAGATCTAATTTGATTAAATTCTGAGAAAGCAAAAAGATATACGTTAGTCTTGCCTCCAAAAACAGTTCCTTTAAATGTACCTGAATCTTAGAAATAACTCAGAAATAACAGCAAAAAGTTACCTCTCTACTATCCTAGGAAACTGACAGTAGGAGTAATAAAAAAATCTTTGTGTGATTGAAAATACCATTATTGCAAGGGTTTTGTTTCTTACTTCAAGATTCATTTAAAAAATAATCATTTTATTTCTCTTACCAAAATAAAAGGACTTAAGCTCATTTATTCATGATATAAGGAGTATTCATAATAAGCATTTATTTAGGGGCACCTGGGTGGCTCAGTCGTTAAACATCTGCCTTCGGCTCAGGTCATGATCTCAGGGTCCTGGGATCGAGCCCCGCATCGGGCTCCCTGCTCAGCGGGGGGTCTTCTCAGTCTGCCCCTTCCAACCCCCATTTGTGCACTCACGCTGTCTCTCTCTCACAAAAATAAATAAAATCTTAAAAAATAAGCATTTATTTATAATAAGCATTTCTTTATGATGTGAAGAATATTCATGTGGCTTAACAAAGAGTGTCATGCATCAGCCTTGAAACTAAACAACAGAAAAAAAGAAGAAAAAATTTTCTTCTTAAAGAAGTATGAGTAGAACTTTGCTGTCCATGAGATCTTAAAAAGATTTTTTTATATTGAGAAAGACTGACACTTATGTAAATTTTGCATCATGACTAGTGCAGAATATTCATTTTTGTTTGTTTCGTGGGACATTTTACGACCCTAGTGCTACTTTTTAGCACACAGACTTCCACTCGGGTAAAAGGTAATGAAAAGCTGATATATATTAGGGCAGAATCTTATGTAATGTGTTTAAAGAGAGTAAGACTTTTATTTACGTTTTAAAAATAAAAGAACATTTTGCCAAGGATTACTCTAACCAGATTTTGAGGTCTTTGTGTCCAAAGACATTTCGTCCACTTCAGAATCTAAGGAGGCACAAGAAAGAATTTTCAAATCACTAGCAAGCAAATCATTTCATAAATGTTTCTATGCATATTTAAGTTTGTACACTATTCTCGGCACATGAGGTCAAAGAATGCCAATTTTTTTCTACATCCATAAAATGAAGAAAACAAAGAGTTTTAAAAATGGCTTTGGTTTAAGAAAAGTACTTAATAATCGTCTCAGATTGAGAGACAATAACATACATTTTCACACATGCAAAATTCAAGCAAAGCACTGAAAAAAAAGATGGTGGCCATTGGAAAAGCAATCTTGTAAAGAGATTTCTTAAATCAAGAGTATGCAATTTTTTTAAAAAGATTTTGTTTATTTATTTGACAGAGAGAGACTCAGCGAGAGAGGGAACACAGCAGGGGGAGTGGGAGAGGGAGAAGCCAGATTCCCGCGGAGCAGGGAGCCCGATGCGGGGCTC